CTCGTCTCGTCGTCTGCATTTCTCTGCATCATTTTGGTATGTCTCCGTGTCTCTCTGTTCCTCGCTTTGTGTCCTCTGTTTGTGTTAGTTTCACCAGTTTAGGTTTATGTTTAGTTCTGCCCTCACCTTGGGTTTTTCACCTTAAATAAATCTCCACCTGCATCTCCACTGCCATCTGCATCTTGGGTCCTCTTTAATTTCACCACATGACCGCTGCCCAGCCGTGACAGTTACACAGGCATTTTGCCGTAACACGGGCAGAAATATTGCCGTTAAGTCCCTTTGTAACTTGAATTTTTCGTTAAATGGGGTTCCACTGTACTTCTTTCAAACCCCATCTTTGTAAAATAAGGACTGTAAGAACGTACTATGTACAGAAAGATTAAGACATGGAAAGATGGAATTTTAATAATACCTATAGGTGGTAAACATAGCTATGTCTTCTGTGTCCATCGTTACAACGTAGATTTGCCACTAAAGCACAATTCATGTGAAGTTGAAGTTATCGCTTATCTGCGTCAGTTATCTACATTTAAACAAAGAAGAGCTTTTTTAAAAATGTACATTTTTACTCTTTTTTTCTTTCTTTAACGGTATCAGATTCATCTCAAGCTAAGTAGCTACTTCCTATCCCGAAGTGCACCCCCTTTGATTTATCAGCGATCACATGGTCACAAGGACTCAAGCAACTTTGATTGAATTTTAATGTAGAAACTTTGTGACTATCATCAGCTTTAAAGTTAAGGCTGTTGACAGTTCTGTCTTAAATGTATTAAAAAACCCATTAAACCCTCATCACATCCAGTTGTTACTTTTCTGACAGTACATAGTTTGAGTTTCAGTGACAGCATGGCAAGATTCCATTTCAATCCATTAAACGTTTTTATAACTACAGATGAAAAGATTTGTTACGTCTCATTATGTCTTATTTGAGTGTCCACGGCTTCTTAAGACGTGACTTTAATTGCCTTCAACTCTCTCTTACTGGGATAAATAATAATATTGTTGTTTTAATTACTCCACTTAGAGGAGATAATTGTTTTGACTGCGCAGACAGGTTTGTCGTGCCAAGATAGCAATGACG